AAGGTGGTACACATGTAAACATCTCTTGCTATCCTGGTACTTACATTGTTATTGTGGTCGTTCTTTTTTAGTTTCCGACGTTTTCCTCGTTTCCTTGCAGTAGATTTTCTAAGCCACAGTATCCTTCCTGTACACTTTATATGTCCTGCCAATTTCTTAGGTTTTCTTAGTTTTCTTACAAAGTACTACGCAGTTCTTCTTAGTGGAATACATATGGGACACGTAAAGATACTGTACAGAAGCATTAGAATACGGCAGCGAACAAATGGAAATCGTGAGTACATGGGGATGCCGGATACGCGAAGGATACCTTGTGGTAAGGAAGGATACTGCGGATATAATTAACAAACATGCCTCAAAGATTTAACGTGTAAAGTCGTACGTATCTACTGTACGAAGTCGTACGTCTCTACTCGTATATGTCGTTTTCGCCCAGAGTTTGCACTTTACAATCTATTTGTAAATCCGTTAACGAATTCCCCATTCTAATGTGCGCATACAAATAAGGCAGCGAAATTTCAGACGTCCAAGGTGGAGCAAAGTACAAAAAAAACTACGAACAAGGTACTGCAGGCTCTTTCAGTTTACGGACAATCTCATCAACCGTTTGCTCCACCGGCCCATCATCCACCCTCACCACCACTGCGCCCTCATCGGCACCCGGCTCCTCCAGTGTCGCCAACTGACTATCCAGCAAACTGGCCGGCATGAAATGCCCCTTCCTCCTGCCCATCCGTCCTTCCAGCAACTGCCTCTCCGCCTGCAAATACACCAGCCGCACATTCTTTCGTTCTCCCACAATCAGCTCCCGGTAGGACCGCTTCAACGCCGAGCATGTGACGACACCGTACGGATGGGTATCGATCCACTCGGCGATTTTCTGCAGCCAGGAAGGCGGTCCGCGTCCGTCAGGGGTACCGGACTGCATTTTGGCGTGGTTGGCAGGTGAATGGAGATCATCGCCTTCTTGGAACGGCCACTGTAGACGATTCGCAGGGCGGAGGCGATAGTGGATTTGCCGGAGCCGGAGACGCCCATGATGACAATGACACAAGGAAGGAGCTCCATAGGAAGGGGATCAAGTGGGAAGACATTGTACACGTACCGTCCAAATGTGTGTCAATAAATATCCCTATGCGATGTTTTCCTAAAGGCTCTTCATCCGTTCGCAGAATACGAGTTAACGCTTTTCCACGGCTAACAACCAACTTCATAATCCTCCGGTTGGACCAACGGAGATGTTAATTGCGTAGAAAAAAAATTATTACGGGCGGGTTGAAGAGTTTTGAAATCGCAGGGAATGCTCTTCCATGCAAACCTAAAGAAGCACCATAAAATTTGCTAGCGATCGTGGTCGTAATAACTCCTTTGAGTCTTGTTATGCAGTACAGCTAGAGTTCTACGTAGATGTTGCTGGTGAATGGTGCTCGGTAATCTTGACCGTTGTGGCTGGGGTTCTGCTATCAGATGTCATGGGAATCAAAATGGATCATGACAACAAAACTTTATTAAATTTTACTACACAGTTAGTCGAGTACTTACTTAACTGAACTGACTGCAAAGAAAAGGCACATGTCAATCGTCGACAATCGATACGAGTACAGAGTACTGTACACCTGAATGATTTCTCGTGCATTACTGTACATACTTATCTACAGGCTACAGTATGTATCGTACAGTATTGTATACTGTGCAGTAGCCGGTAAATCATAATATGGGCAGTAATAAGAAACAGGTCTGGTACACGGCAGCAACAGCTGTTCGCCTGCTCCATTTTCGCACACTTTGCAATTAAAATTAATAAGTCTCATGGTCGTGAAATTCCTTCTCGTCAGCTGAAATTACTGATAACGCTAGACGGACGGTTATCGGCTTTATAAACACGGCTGTACAAACTGCTTATGTAACTGGTACAGTAACCGCATGTACAATTTAAAGTACTCGTACTGTCGTACAGGCTGACAAAACTGGAACTAACAATTATTGTTGTTAATAGTTTAGCGGTGATTTATGTTCTGGCAGAAAACAGAATCTCACGATTATCACCGCATTGTTCATCCACTGCAGACAAAAAAAAAACAGTGTATACCAAAATTTGATGATTGTTATAAGTCACGCTGGGATTTTAGTGATTTCGAACAGGAATACGGACTATTATACACAGACCATGCTATCAGTCTTTGATTTATGATGCAGTTCGCTAGCGAGCTTGTTCAGATGCTCCTGTTAACTGCACAGTGCAGTTAACACTTTAAACAGCATTGATTTTATACTTCACACCAGCGGAAGTCAAGAGTCTCCAACTGCCACACGGTCCACACGCATGTTTCGATAAGGACGGTTTCACTTACTTTGATCTGTTCGCTTAATTTCTTGCCGTTTTTATTTTCGTTGTGCTCACCACATATATTTTCTCGGCCATTTCTTGCAATCGTTAATTTTACATTTTGTCTTCTACAAAATTCTTTTATTATATCCCTTTACGATAGGACGATTCCACATCACCGAATCACGAAGAAAGAACAAATAAATTTGCACCCTCAAAAAGGGTTCAGCCTGTCCAAGTGGGCCGGTAAATAACTATCGGTACAAACAAACGGGTCAAAGAAACAGAAATCTGTAAAACTAGGTAAAAGTTTTCTTATCATAGAAAAGTAATCCGGCTTTTTTATCACTCATTCCGATCAACAGTCTAAGCCAAGGCGAATCCCTGCGTCTGCTGCATGGCCAGCAGCAGTTTATCCCGCAACGCCCGCTCACTGGTGTACTTGGGCAGATCGAGGATGTTGAAGCAGGTGTGCGCTACCGGCAGGTAATTCTCCCCGCCCCCCGCCGGCTGGATGATGATCTAAGTAAAAAAGCCAGAAGTTCAATATTAACTTGTGCTAAAAATACTACAAATAAATACCAAAAACAAACTAAAAAGAAACATCAAAGCACTCTTTCTACTAGAATCAAGCAACTAACGTACGCGGACGGCTTTCATTCCCAAGATGGGAATGCGATCACAGCCGGTGAGGAACAAGAGGAACTTTTTCTTCTGCTCCAGCTCCAGCGAGTGGAAGACGCGCCAGAACATCTTGATGGTCGGGTGTTCGGCGGTGAAGTCGCCTTTGTACACGGCAGCCTGCACAACACGGAGAAACCACGGTCAACCACGCACACCAACGGTTATTCAATGCAAGATAATAAAACATGCGTCAACATGCTTTTAAAAAAAGCTAATCCGGTCGGTGTTTTTATTTCGATAAACCCTATTAACCGCTGCTTAGCGTACGATCAAATATCTTCAGATCCCAAGGAAGCTCGATGTTTGACCGCTACACTACGATATTAACCCTAATGGCACGTTAATAAAGCGCGCCAAGCTTGTATACTGACGAAAACTATTCGGCATTCGAAAACAAGCATGCAGGAAATCGCAACATCTAAATTCCAAATCCAATAGTGGCGTGTAGCGATGCACTACTATGTACTTACTACTTACGAACCAACTTACGAACCAAATAATTATAATTTTCTAAATATTTTTCCAACTCATGTATTACAAGAAGATCCCATAAGCCTCCAAAACCCAACATTACCGCTCATCGTTAATAAAACGAGTTGCAGGAGAATTTTTAGTATTAGTTGATTCATACAACGGTCAACGGGGCACGTTTGGTTACCTCCTGTAGTTCTTTCCAGTCGTAATTCTCATTGCCGCACACCATGGCCATGAGCTCCTGTGGATGGAACAACTCGAGGATCTTTCCACCGCAGACGCGATGAAACCCTTCGTAGAACGCCGCGAATTGTCCCTCCACGGCTTTGTTCAGCACATAATCCACGTACAAATCCACATACTCCTGCCGGTTGTCCTTTGTAACGGCAATATCCTCCCCGTTCGGCTTCAGCGGCACGATCGCCGTCTCCCCGAAGGATTCCTGAGAGATGGTGAAGTTCAACGCGAAGATCTCTTCCAAATCGTTGCCTTCGTACTGCAGCAGCTGTTCCAAACTCCTATAACGACATCGCATTGACGGTTAAGGAAACATAGAAAACTCGGAAACAAAACCGAACAGCCGACTGCCATATGGCGCCTTAGTCGTTATACAAGCCAACCATCATCTCACATCAAATTCAATTTCCTCAACATATACAAATTACAGGTACCTGCATTCTAACGTTTTACTGCACTTAAAAAACAAACCACCTAACCCATAGTGAAATTCAGATAAACAAGAATACATGGATGAAATCACGCAAGTCTTGGGGTTTGCCACAACACTACGGTATCAACAAAAATGTGGGTACACAACGGTCAACGAGTTCCGTAATCTCACCGAAGACGCGTTTCAAAAGCTAGCAACGCCCGACAGCCAATACGGCAGTGAAATATCACAAAACAAATTTTCTGTCCTCGTACTGAAGAATTTTAAAGAAACCACAAATCCTAACATTACATAAACTAAACATTAATATCGCTTATTAGCCTTACCGGCGCACAGTGGGCATGAGGCCGTCGAGATCCTGCAGAATAGGCTTAATATTCAGTAGTTTCTTATACAGCACCAGCGGGAAATTCACATCCACAATCGTCGCTGCAAATTAATCGTTAAACCTTTACTGCTGCAGTACTGCTGTTCGAGTTGTACAAAAAATTGAATTCTTATTTCGCGGCAGGCAGTGATTTTTAACAGCTGAAAATCAATGCGACTGCACAATCGTAAGAAAGATCCAATAAGTTACTAGCGTGCCTTTATACTACAATATCCCCATATCGGATGAACAATACCGTTATAGATGGCCAATCCGCAAATAATGCCGACCATATAAAAGCGATCTTTGCTCTCGAAACTGTTGCCGTTGAAGTAAATACTCCGTGACTCTTCGTAGTATGTGAACATGCCGTATTTCGGATCGAGCAATTCACGCATCAGAAGCATAAAAAATTCCTGTAAAAATTGTCAATGAAATATCAGGACAGCGTAGCAAATCATACGTCCAATGCGCGGTGAATAAAAAATGTTATTAAAATACATTTTTATGCAGCTGTATCCTCGTTAAAAATCGTCATTCACTAGTACAAGGCCATAAAAAATAATGTGAAAATGTTCGCAAGGTACATCGATTCGCTAATACATAACAAAACACATCCTTATGTTTTCTGTACGGCGCAACAACCCATTAATGGCCAAAAGTGGGCAACATGTGAGAAAAACGCAAAATGTTGGTAAATCAAAACAGCAATTATCACCTTTTTAACACCACCGGCATCCTCCGCGTCTTCCCCGGTAAACCACACCTTAAGCGGACGTTTCAGATCGCCTCGTTCTAAAAACGAGAAACTTAACTGTTTCAGTCGGTTAATAATTCAACTGACCCGATATCAGCGTAAGTTTGGTGCAACAAGAAAACACTTCTCAAAAAAAAAGTAACGATATTTAACCGGCATCCACATACCTTTGAAACTCCAGATCTGGTCCAGCGTGTCTTTGAGCAAATCATTGCGGGAGACGTACAGATTGAGGAAGACCACCTGCTGCGGATGCATGGCGGCGCCGCTGGTGCCCTGCGCCGCCGCCCGGATGAAGTTCATCATGAAATCCGAATGGTTCATCGAATTCACCGCTTCCTGTCAGAAAAACACCAAGATATTCTCGCAATTCTTGCCTTTTCCACAAAAAATCATTCACCTCCATCTGCAGCATGGAGTCGGCCTGCAGCAGCATCGTCTTGGCTTGCGGATCAAAAGTGAAGGCGTAATTACAAAACGACAGGGTCATCAACTGAAAAACAGGAACGGAAGTCAAAGCTATGTCTTAATATGTTCTCTGTATTTCTACGACGAAAATACATTTGCAGAGAAATTCTTTCTCTGTCAAGTTTTACCGTAATGATCTACACTTTATACTGATATAAAGACAGCAATTTTAATAATTTTTT